GGACAGCTGATCGCAGCCATTTTCGCGCCCTCGTTCAGTGAGGGGAGGGTGCGAAAATGGCTGCCGGCCATCGGAGAAACATCACTGAACGGTGAGGACAGCAGCCGATTGGAACGCATTAAACACTGTTTAATGCGTTCCAATGGGCTTTTCTGCCCCGCTCAGCGATGTTTCACACAGCGAGGGTTAATCCGGGACGGATTAACTTCACACAGCGAGGGACCACTGTATAATATTGTTGACTTAAATATAATTGTTAGAAGCAAAAATTCTATTTGCCTAATTCCAGCTTGTCACTTTAATTAATTAAGAATGACAGGTTTTTCTTCCATGAGATTTACATTACTAATTTCCTAATAAAATATAGTGCTTTATTGTCACAAACATTAAAATTACCCTGCTGTCTTTCATTCTGATACATATTCTGCCTTACATTCTGCTGTTACTAAGAATGGATTTGGAAATTTAAAATTATCATGTGATTCAGAAATGTAAGTCACATACATTTTGAATTTCTGCTTGAAGGAGGAAATGAATAGATTTTATATGTCATGGCCCATTATGAAACGTTTTAAAAAAACGTTTCTCCCACAATTTCTCCATCAGGCCTTCCTGTCTTTTCAGTGGACAATGTTGTCTTTGTAGCATGTGTTACCTTATGTAATAATAACCACGTGCCATCATCCTGACTTATAGTGACTTTTTTCAGGGTTTTCTAGACACAAAGTACTCAAAAATGGTTTACCATCCCCTTCTTCTGGGAGCATTCTGGGGCTGCACAGCTTGCCCAAGGCCACACAGGCTGGCTTTTCTCCATGGAGGCACAGTGGGGAATCAAACTCCCTGACTCTTCAGCAAGATATCTAACTCACAGAGCTATCCAGTCAGTACGTTACCTTATATAATGAAATCCATATGCTGCTCCTAACTGGAGTAAACCAGCTGAGTTAATGGAACTAGTTAAATGGGAGTCCCATTGCTTCAGGGGGTATGCTGTACCTAGAACTCAGAGCTGGATTGAGCTTATATTATGTAATTTTTTTAAAAAAAGCTAAAAAGAGGAACAAGTTATGTTTCTGATCAGTCCTCTCATATGTGCAGTTCTCTGTATGTGAGAATCCTGGTGGAAATCAGTTAAGGTTTTTTTGCTCACTATCTTTTCCAGCCTGACCCTCAGCTAAGTGAAATCATATTGTCTCTGCGTTCAAAGATGGCAGAAAGGATGAACCTGGGAACTACAGACCAGTCATCCTGACATCAATCCCAGGGAAAATCCTGGAACAGATTATAAAGAGGTTATTCTGGATGTGCCTTGAAAACAATAATAACTAGAAACCAGAACTAGGATAGATTTGTCAAGAACAAATCTTGCCAGACTAATAATCTCATTTTTTGATCAGGCATTCCTTCCCTGATAGACAGTAGGAATGCTGTAGATTTAATATATCTTGACTTCAGCAAAGCCTTTGACAAAGTGCCCAATGAAATTCTGATTAGCAAGCTAACTAGGTATGGGTTGGATAGAACAACTGTCAGGTAGATACACAGTTGGTTACAGAATCATACTCAGAGAGTGCTCATCAATGGCACCTTCTCAAAATGGGAGTAGGTATCAAGTGGGGTATCACAAAACTCAGTCCTGGACCGAGTAGTCTTCAACTTTTTAATTAATGACTTGGATAAGGTGGTGCAAGGGAGCCTTGTGACGCAGTGCTTAAAGTGCAGTCCAGCATCCAAGACACTGTTCAGAACCTGAGACCTGATGGGCGCAGGTAGCCGGCTTGAGGTTAACTCACTTTTCCATCCTTCTAAGGTTGGTAAATTGAGGACCAGTTTGCTGGGGTTGGGTGTCACCTGCATTATTAAAATTGTAAACTTACTAGTGGCAGGTACATAGTTCCTCCTGCTCAGAAGATAAATAATCTATGTGTGCAATCCTGAAGAATTGGGAAGGGCACATATAGTACACTCAAAGCAGGATGTTCTCATATCACAACAATCAGTGGGCTAATCGAATTAAATTATTATTATTTTTAATCTGGAAAAATGTCTTCAAAATACATAAGTAGTTATACTGCCAGACTGATTTAGATGTCAATGTCTAATTGTTTAACAATGCTGTTAAATTTTCATTTTAAAACTGCCCAGTGTAATTGGGATGCTGTTTCAGTAGATGCTTGAGCTTGAACTGGGCATTTGTACTGGTCTGTTTATATCTGTCTCTCACCTAACATCCCTGCACTGCCAGCACAGGGCCATGTTTAATGCCATTGCACTCTTACAGCAGCTGCAAAACCCATCTTAAATATTTATTTTCTGGTTCATAAATATGAATGTGGTGAATGTGTAAGCACTGCAAGTGAAACAAGTAATATATGTGGAGTTATGAACTAGAAGAATTGTATCCAAAGAAAGAAGTGTGCGTGTCATTCTGCAGATAGTTTTCTAGAGCATATTCTGTTGGTACCCTAGATAAGTCTGTTGTTCACTTAAATATTGTGTGCTGTGGATACCTAGGAAGAAAAGTTTCAAGATGATACGATCCCAGTCCTTGTCATTACAAATTCCATCGCAGGAATGGAAACCTCCATCAGCTGCTCCAGCTGTGTCTCCTCCTACTCCAGTTTTTCCTGGTGTTCTTCAGCCCATCCAAGGGACATATGATGTTCCAGAATTCCAAAGAGTTGCAATTAGTGGGGATTACTGTGCTGGGGTAAGGTATCAGACCATTTTCTTTGGTTATTTTTTAAATAGGAGAATAAACTACTGTAATGTGAAATTGAATTGGTCTTTTATTATGCATGACTGTGTTTGTATAATCTAGACAACATTCAGGAGAATCTTATATACAGAGAAAAGTGGGGTTTGTCCTCGGCAAGCAGCTCTTTGTCAGTTAATAAGAATAAAATATTGTGCTCTCTTTATTCTGAAGAATAAAGAGATGCTTTCCTATTGGCCCTCAGTTGAAAGCATGCATCAAGGAGCAACATGCTTGGGCGTGATGTAGAATAGGAAACCTACTCATACCTCCTATGGTGCCACACAGTGGTCTTTTTTCATTTGGCCTATGTGTGCCTGAATATAAGCAGCTTATGAAAACAAACTGAAACAGGTAGAAAGCCTTTCAGGAAGTGTACGTAGGCCTGTGTTTCCAGATTATGATTAAGAATGTGATTCACCTGCGCAAGGGGAAGCAAAGGTTTGACTTTCAGAAAAACCTTGGACAGTCATACAGCTCCTCCTAGATGGGGGTTATTATTCCAGATGCCATAATCCTTCTTATGGATATCATGCCCATACTTAAGATTCTAGAAGCCTGAAGTTAGTTAATGCATTTTTCTTCAAGGATTCCAAATGCAGTTATGTGCACGAATGCCACGCAACTACACGGTTACACTGCTATTATATATGTATAGTGACATCAGATGTGAGTAGGACAATGGAAGCAAAATCTACATACCTTCTTAAGATCCTGTTGGTTAATTTGGGAGTGTGTTCAAATGACAGTAGAGGATAGAATTGCATGCCAATTCATGTTTCAGTGAATTGGGGATTCCATCACTTTCTCTGTTGAAAAAATGTGAATATATTTTTATGAGTCAAATAGTGGTATGCAAATAGTTTATACATAAATAAAGAAAAAGTGAAATAATGTGGCTTCATAGGATTGAACTGCTTAGTTGACATAATCACATCGCTTTGGATATTATACTCAAACTGATGCATTGGCTGAAATCCTGTTGGACATGGCATAGTGTAATGTTACACCTGCAAAAGTTCATGGGGAGTCATGGGCAGGAAGTCAATGTGTCTAACTGCACAACCAGTAGTGTTATGAACCACTCAACAAAAAGTGCAATGCACTGCGCAACTGTGTCTATAGAACTGCTTCTTGTCTTGGCACTAATTTTAAAACAGCTTATGCAACTTCATGTTATGCAGGCATAGCTACACAACAGGATTTTTCCCAAAGATGGTAAATATTAGCCAGGACTGTATGACTTTAGATTGCCAGTGGAAGGCTATCACAACTAAACACACATCCACATGGAATAAGCACAGGAAATGTGCAGCCCTCTGGGTGATGATGAACTGCAACTCCCCTTACCCTTAGCAAGCATAGCCAGTGGTGAGGAGTGATGGGAGTTGCATCTCTAGAAGGCTGCATGATCTGCATCCCTGTTACAAAATATTCCTTCAACATAGTTAATAAGCTGTGTGAGAAAAAGGGCTCCACAAAAGTCTTTTCATTTACAATGTGCAAGATTCTTTTTCCCCTGTGGAGGCATATTCCACGAATGAATTCTAATTTGGAATCTCTAGTGGTACTTTCTGGAAAAAAAGTTCAGAGTCTCATTTATTTACAAAAACATACATAGAATTAGTGTCTATGATAGCTTTTTAAAAACAAGTTTTAACAATTAATTGTACAATTTCTCTCTTCAGGTGAGTGTTGATGATTATGAACAGGCTGCCAAGAATTTGGCAAAGGCATTACTTATTCGAGAGCGGTATTGCCGCCTTGCTTACCATCGCTTTCCAAGGACAACAGCACAATATTTGTGCAGTGTACGAAATGAAAAATGGAAAATTGAAGATGAGATTCTTCCAGGTAAATGCTGGGGGCCTATGAAAACATAGAGGTTTTTTAAAAAAATGTACTTGATGTGCCTTCTTGGTCCATGTTAAGATTATAGTACTTCTCACAATATTTAGATGATTTTATTGTTATCGATTTGCTGCAGTTTTGCCCTTAATTATTAAGAAAATGACCAAATATATGGGCAACCTAGGTCAATGCAAAAAAAGGCCTAGGATGAAAGCCCCTTTGAAGTACCTTTTGGCCAGCAGATCAGGAATAGATAACGTAGCTGAAAGAGGTTAAGTACAGCATCCAGGAAAGAAAGAGGTCTCTCTCTTCTGCTGCTCCAGACCTCAGAGATGGGAGGTCACAATATACAACTCTTAAGAGCAATTGCCTCTTAGCTTGTCTAAACAGATAAGATTAGCTAGAATTTAGGATAGTTACTTTGTAAATTTCACCTTACTAAGCTGTACTTTGCCTAAGAGATGGAGAACAGTTGAGGTGATTTTACTGCTAAAAAACCTAAGGCAAAGTTTTACTTGTTTTCTCTTCAATAAAGTTTACTCCTTTCAAAACTGTCCTCTTGTGTTTTGGATGCAGAGCTAACCTGGTTCAAAGTGCCTCACTATTCTTGGCCCACACTACCAAAACGTTTTGTTTTTAAAAGCATGTACAGAGTGCCGGTAATCAAGAAGGCATGGGCAGCAGAGGGATGGTGGCAGATTTTCTACTGAGTAGTTCAAAGAAAAGAGATATTTGACATTTAAAGGGGTAGATATTTAAAGAGGTTTTCCCTCTCCCTAGCTTTAGTAAGCCTGGCATTTAGCTCCAAAATCATGACAGTTCTGTTTTCTATAGTCCAGCAAAATCTTGAATTTTTTTTCCTTACCAATCTTGAAGAAGAAGCATATGGGCTGTTAGTTTCCTCTCCTAACATGGTTGCTTCCTGCAGATGTTTCCTTAAATCATCAAATTTAGCTGGTAAACCCTTACCCAGGTCTAAATCATGTGTTGCAAAGGCTTCTGAGGATTCCATTTCCATGTTTTGTGAAATTTATTTTCAGTTAAGGCTGTAGTCACACCAGCGAAATGTTTTTGAGTTACTCCTTGTAACTTGACCCTTTTTGTGTTGGGGGGGGGTTTCAGACGATGCATTTTGTGAAATTTATTTTCAGTTAAGGCTGTGGTCACACCAGCGAAATGTTTTCGAGTTACTCCTTGTAACGTGACCCTTTTTGTGTTGGGGGGAGTTCAGACGATGCAAGGCCATTATCAATTATTTTATCCCTCCTCTGTGCTACCTCTGCTGGTAAGCTACTACTATATTTGTTACTCCCTCACCTGCTGTCATTTGACTCCCTGAATTTTTAAAAAATAAATTTTCAAACAGGAATGTTGGCGCTTTGGTATACTTATGTAAAATACAGAGCATCGGTCCCTCTACTGTCTTTTGATCACCATTGCAGTGTGCTGTGTTTTCTCCTCCACAGAGGGTAATGAAGCATAGAAGTAGGAAGAAGTGGCCCAGATCAGCACATGGCCAACAAGAGTGTTTTGCTGACACAGAAATGTACCACACACAAAGAAAAAAAATGGAAGGGGGCCTGAGAAAGGAAGGGGATATGTCCCACTCGAGCAGTATAGATGAACGTACTGCATCTAATTCACCCCTCAAAAAAGCAGAATGAATAAAAAAATGTATGAACCACTATCACAGAATATATGCCACATGACCACAATGCACAACTATATAGGAAGCAGAATACATGAGAAAAAAGGGAGGCATTTCTCTAGTCTGACTATAGCCCAAGTTCAAGGTTTCAAAGTTAGGAAGTGGGAAATTTCTTATTTGCCATGGTAGGGCTCTTTATAAACAGGCCATCTACTCACACTGTCTCTCACGCCTGGAATCTTATATCAGTCATTTATATCTTCACTGTCATGTAGGACATGCAATTCTAACTGTATAAATCCTGTATATGAGACTGACTGTCCTGCAAATAACCTTTGTATGTGGGAAATATTTACAAAAACAAACCTCTTTCATAAAGAGCTGCAGCTCATTCTTCTAATACTGGCGTTAGAAGAAAGACTTTTCCTCTCCTTTTCTTGTTTGTCAAAGATCCCCCCCCCCAAGACCTTACTGCACAAAGACACTGTCCTTGGCTTGTTACCAAAATCTGTGCCTTTGATTCTGAGAATAGCTAACAAGGTTTTATGCCAGCAGCTTCTAAAGAAATGTTCCTGTATGTATTTGTTAAAACCTATTTTATTATACTATTTTCTTTAAGAATTTCCACAGGCAAAATTTAAATTGATTTAGATATCCTTAAAGAGGCTTTTTGGGGTGTTGCTCAGTCCCATCAAAATTTTGCTTTTACAATAGCTCAGAAACTGAAACAGTATTGCCAAATGCAGTTTCTAGTGTAATAAAATATTTTCTGTCCTGCCTGCTCCAAAAGGTGTATACTTTGGATTTTCTTCTTTTTATTTTTTGGGGATTTTACTAACTTCAACTAATGCTCTGGCTTCCACTCTGTGAACAGCACAATTTATTTCCCCAGATCGTTTGGGTGTAACTCCGAAAACATTTTCAGGTTCAGTTTGAGATCTCCTTCAACTCCTTCTTTCTTTATAAAGTTAAACTTTAAAATCCCAGGGATGTGCCTTTTGTGTTTTAAATAAAGGCTGAACAGATGAAATACACTCCTTGTTATTTTTTGTGTTCTTTCATTGATTGCGGACAGCCGCCTAGAGTGGTCTTAATCAACTAGATAGGCAGGATATAAATAGAATAAATAAATAAAGACTATTTGTGGGGTTATTTGTGAGTGCCTCTTGTTCATTTAACCTTTCTTTCATCCTTTGTCAGATTGCCCAGGAAGTCTTTCATCTAATTGCATTGTGAGGGCTGCTGTCAGCAGTCAATCATAATGGCTGTGGGAGCAAGAATTTTGAAGCTCGAAAAGGGGCTGGGTTGATTGGAACCCAATAAGGAGTAATTCTTTGTGGGTGGGATTACTGTATGCTGCTGAGCTCCTTGTGTCCTCCACCTTGGGTTGTCCTGTCTGTCTGCCTCCTTTTGTTTTGACAGGTCCAAAGTAAAATCTCACCAGCAACCGCAAAGCCTGCACAGTCAAAGACGAGCGTTCCCCCATTTTTTTCATAAATCTAAGTGTTGTTAAAAGTGTTTTAAACAAATATTTAATTTTTTTAGTAAAATAAAGAGGTATGCATTGTTTTAAAGAAAACTGTTCTTCTTGAAAACTTTCAGAAGTTTAGTTCTCATTGGCCAGAATCCCTATTGCATAGTTCTATTCTCACAATAGTAGTGATGTGTGACTTCATATCATTGTGCATGAGTTATGCACACCCCAACACTGAGAAAGGGGCTCTTTAATGAGCAGCAATGCAACTAGATATTAATATTTGTTTTTAACAACCTCCTCACCCCCCGGAGGCAGGACTCTGTTCTAAAAAAAGAGACAGTGGAAAGCATCTTATCTGTTGTTTGCCACTGCAGTAATATGTCATTGACAGCACTTCACGATTTTTTTATAAGATTATTAATCAATGCTTTGTAAGATTCAATAATGATGACTGGGAACAATTTTGTATTTTAAATGATGCCTAAGTCTCTGATTCTGACATTTTACAGATTTTCATCCACCTCCCAAAGAACTACAGGATCCATATAATCTTGATGATTCTCCAGGGAACTTGGGTTATGTTGCAAAGATGAAGGAAGGCATCACCTTAATTTTTGAAAACAAAGAAACAATGAACCTTAACAAGCCACGGAGTTTGCCTTATCCGGATCTGCAGACATACACTTTTGACCTCAGTCATGTGCTAGCTCTCATTGCAGATGGCCCAACGTATGGCTTTGTTTCACTTTAAGAATTGCATAATATTAGCCTATGATGTACTTTATTAGTTACAGTAATAATAAATATATACTTTCGCTCTGTAAAGTTCCAGGGTACTTCTGGATTCAAAATAAGGCCTGCTATGGTTAATGCAAGTTATTGTCTATTAACTGTGTTGAATCCCTGAAGTGATCAGTAGCTCAGATCTCTAAAATGGTGTAAGGATGGAGAAAACAGTGTGTATTGAATTTTGTAGTAGAAGTGCTTAGACTTAGGCCATATTTTATTTTTATAAATGTTTAATCTGAATGGAATCATTACATTTCTGATTCTTAGAAGCTAACCTGATTGTGTAAGTGAATCAGTTCTCTCTCTCTCTTTCTCTCTCTCTGCTAATGATCTACAGCACAATAATCAAGTATAATTTTTAATTCTCCTACAGAAAAACCTATTGCCACAAGCGACTCAACTTTCTAGGATCCAAGTTTGGTTTACATGAAATGTTAAATGAAATGTCTGAGCTTAAAGAGCTGAAGAGTAACCCTCACCGGGATTTTTACAATGTGAGAAAGGTAAACATGACTTGGAGAAGAGAAGAAATCATTTCTCTTTTTGACTCCCAACATCTAATATCTTTAAGATTATATGTCTTGGAAGCCACTGAACAATTCACTTCGGGTTATTGAGTTGTTTACTTGCAACTTTATCTTTCAAAATACAGTAATAAGCTTCTGAATTCCAAGGCAGTTCCTCAAGTATGTAGAAAATAGAATTTTGTTTTAGACTGCTCTTCACCTAGTAGATGTGACAGTACTTCATCTGACAATATCTTATGCAATGAATTTTAAATGACAACTATAAGCAGAACTACCTTCCTGCCAGATTGCATTTAGAAATGACTATGACTTCTTCATACCAGTAGTTAAAGATGCTTATTACTGGCAATCAAGCTTTACTACTTTTTTGTGATTTTATGAGTGGGTCTTAATGGGCTTTTCAAATATTAGATGGTAGCTTAGAAAGATGTAAAATATTCCGTCTTATCTAATTGACCCAGTTCCCGAAACCCAAAACTCCTGTACATGTCTTCTACTAATTTGCATATTATCCATCTACAGCACTACTGCACACATTAGATAAGGTTCATTAGAAGATGAAACACAGAGGCTAAGGAACACAGGAAAGTAAACTGAGACTTCAGAATTGTTACTTTCACAGTGGAATACATAAATTAATGCCTGCATTAGAAGGCACATTCGTAAAACTATGCAGAATATTTAGTAATTCATATACATTAATTGATATTAAAAAGGTAAAGGTTCCCCTTGAGATTTAGTCCAGTTGTGTCCGACTCTAGGGGGCGGTGCTCATCTCCATTTCCAAGCCGTAGAGCTAGTGTTTGTCTGAAGACAGTTTCCATGGTCATGTGGCCAGTGCAACTAGACACGGAACGCCGTTACCTTCCCACCATGGTGGTACCTATTTATTTGCTCGCATTTGCATGCTTCCAAACTGCTAGGTTGGCAGGAGCTGGGACAAGTGACAGGAGCTAACTCCACCATGTGGATTTGATCTTATGACTGCTGGTCTTCCGACCTTGCAGCACAGAGACTTCTGCAGTTTAACTTGCAGCACCACCACGTCCCTATTGCTATACCTGTTTGTTAATATGGATAGGTGTACAATTAATGTAGATACATATGGATTTTACATTATATGATATGATAAGCTGCTGTGATGCAATAGGCAAAGTTTGTATGTAGTAGCATACAGCTTGTTTTTTCTGGATTCCAAAGAGGTTGATGAGAAGATTATATAAGAAAAGTAGTGGTCATTCCTGGAAAGAATGATTAAGGCAGTAAGCAGAATTGCTGGAAGGTGTTTCAAGTGAAGGTCAGTCTCAGGTTTCCTTATTAAGTGGGTGTACCTATTGAATTATTTGTGAATCTCATGATCATCTGCATTTCATTTAACTATAATCAAAGCTCCATTTAATATTTCAGTGATAGCAGGTATTTTGTTGTCCCCCACCGGCATGTTTCCTAATTTTTGTACCATCATGCTTTCTGAAGCATTCTGGAGAGTGTGAAAGTTTGTGCTACTTTTGTGACATTTTAATGGTCCTAATTTTAAAAAAAGCAGCCCTGTGCTTTATCAGATGATATTTTCTATCTGTGCAATGACCTTATTTCCTTAGAATAGACAGCTAATAATTTATTTCTTGTTTAATTAATCAAGATTCAATTAAACAAAAAAGATTTAATTAATCAATCTACTGCTGCTTTTTGAATCAATGGGAAACTGAAATTAGCTGAAGCCTTTGGGATCTCCTCTTGTGTATTGGCATGGGGGTGCTGTATGGGGCCCCTAGACAGGAAAACTAGTAGTGTTTACATGGAGGTTCTGAACACAGAAAGCTCTCAGGATTCCTTTCATTCAAGTGCCAGAGGGATATATATCATAGACTGCTTGAGACTGTTATAGTAACACAAGTATGACTGGCTGTTCTAAATGCAGATGATTTATCTGTGTTGGTGACAGATGTAACACGTATATGTGCATAAAACTATCAAAAGCTGTCTGTATCATTGATTTGTTGGAAGGTGTCAAAAATGTTTTGTGTGCTGGAAACCTTAGAAGACTGGAAGAACTTAAGTGTCAGTTTACGTGACAGACAGTTTGGTGGAAAGTGGCCAAAAGAGCATGTGAGGTTGTTTTGAAAAGACTGGACATAGCCCTGCTGTTCTAGTTTACGATTGTGTTAGGATGTGTGTCTGTTTCTTAACGCTGTCTTCTGTACCACAGCTGCCATGGCAGGTAACAGCAGTTTTAAACTGAAAGAATTATACAACACAAAAAAAGTTCAAAACTGAATGAAATTGAAAGCATAGTCTCAAAGTAATTGAAAACATAATTTAAGATCACATCACTAAGTAAAGCATAACTTTATCTGGTAAAGTCATGTTCTCAGCAGCCAACCAGGGCTCGACCAGACAGGCATATGTCCCATTGTGAGGGCAGGTTGGCTTACTATTTTCCCCGTTGACCAGAACTGATCTCTGGAGTGAATCAATCCATCCCCAGGGTGCCCCTGCTCACACTTATTTGAGCTCCTCCTGTCAAGGGTTTCTACTTTTTTAATGGAGGTAGGGGTGCACTAGTTTGGTATGTTTCTAGCATGTGTGATTGCTGGGAACAGGCCAAAATCGAGCTTTGCAGCTGTCAAAGTTCATTCTGTTTTCAGTTTCCAGTATCATGAAGTGACATAATAAACAAGCCATTTCAGGATATCAGCAAATTGAAGTTTTCTCTGGAGGGACATGGGAAGTGAATTTATTTATTTATTTCTTCTGCTAGATTCATTCATTCATTCATTCATTGTGATGTGTGTTACATTTACTAGGATTATGGGATTTGTGGGTTACCTTAGATATTCTGAAATAAACAGAAGAATGAGGTGGGAACAATTTAAATAAATAAATAATGTTTCCTTCAGAAGATGGATAAATCTAGTTTTTCTAGTGCTTGGTTTCTGTATGAGCTTAAATGACCACAAATGTCTCCTTAAGAGTAGAAGTAATTGAAATGAGTCTGTTCCCCATGCCCTCTTTAATACTATTTCATATTCATAAATATATTGTTAACATATGCAGTGTTTACTGCCAGAAATTATGCCCTAGCTCAGACTTGATCATAAATATGTCGAGGTAATGAAGATTGACCTTGTGTTGAAATATCCTTGTAATCATGATAAAAATGGAGTATATTTAATTTTAATATAAATGTTCAATGGAATATAAGGAAACGTAGCTTTATGGGGGAGTAAATGAGTAGCTGTTACAAAGTGCATTTAATAGAAAATTAAAAAAAAAGATCCAAGTCAAGTACAATGAATTATATGTGATGGTCATGGCAACCTAAAGTTTAATGGCATGCATTTGTATTCAGTTTTTTTAAAATCTGAGCTGATTTGCAAAGTCATTTTCTCACATTCCTGTTTTAAACTGTGATTGTGCATAACAAATACATGCTAATGAATTTTCTGGAGTGGAACACTAATCAACTCTATGACATTTACTACCTTCTGAAAGCCCCAGGAGTTTCCTTCAGCAACTGTTTTAAGCTGGAGAGGTCATTCTGACCTTTAAATTAATTTGTTGCTCTTTCTGGATTGACATTTCATTGGGTACACATTCAGGGAGGTAATGGTCCAATCTGAGCATTCATCGGAAACACTAACAACAAACGTTTCCAAGAAAATGGCTCTTCTATTTGGCAATTTTTTTTAGAAGATGCGATTTTCTCAGAATAGGTCTCCTAAAGCTGTATCAGACAGAGTAGTATGGTAGGCAGGATCATAAAAATACTTGAAAGTACTGTACTGTATTTGAAAATTTGCTTCTTAAGCACAATCATTTGCAGGCTTGTCTCTTACTCTTGAAAAATGTGTGTTAAGATTACAGTTCCACAGTACAATCCAGAACAGGTCAACACAGGAGAAAGAACACTAAGAACATTGTGTTCTTAGACTGACTCCTAGATAAGTGCAAAAGATAGCAACCTTAATATGCTACCTTGGTTAGCAACAACAACAGGTTTGCAAGTTCATGTAAACTTGGAAGATATTTTCTGTAGCCTACCACTTGTTAATTTTCAAGCAACCAAAGAAAGAAAATAATTGTTGTTGTTTAAGTTGCATCTGACTCTTAATGACCCCATGGACCAGAGCACGGCAGGCCTTCCTATTTTCCAGTGCCTCCTGGAGTTGGGTCAGATTCATGTTGGTTGCTTCGATGACACTGTCCAACCATCTCATCCTCTGTCGTCCCCTTTTCCTCTTGCCATCCCACTTTCCCAACATCAGGGTCTTTTCCAGGGAGTCTTCTAATCTCATGAGATTACCAAAGTATTGGAGCCTCAGCTTCAGGATCTGTCCTTCCAGTGAGCACTCAGGGTTGATTTCCTGCAAGATGGATAGGTTTGTTCTCAGTTCTTTGGCGGTCAGTCTTCTTTATGGTCCAGCCCTCACTTCCATACATGACTACTGGAAAAACCATAGCTTTGACTATGCGGACCTTTGGCAGCAAGACGATGTCTCTGCTTTTTAAGATACTGTCTAGGGTTGCCATCGCTTTCCTCCCAAGAAGCAAGCATCTTTTGATTTCGTAGCTGCTGTAACCATCTTCAGTGATCATGGAGCCCAGTAAAATCTGTCACTGCCTCCATATCTTCCCCTTCTATTTGCCAAGAGGTGATGGGGGTAGTGGCTATGAACTTAGGGTTGTTTTTTTTTTTTTAATGAAAATAATACATGGCCAAAATTTTGAATTGCAGCAAATTCTGAATGAGTTTTCTTCTTTTCTCCCCCCCCTGCAGCAGTGATTATGGATCTACCTGAACTTTCTTAGTTATAGCCTCCTTTTCTCTATTTACTTTGTTATGCATTACTTTATTAATAATTGTAATCATAGTATGCTGGGTAGGATTCCAACTTCTGTGAGTTTCTTGTGACTAGTCACAGGAATGATAATATGATGCCTGCTTCTAAGATAGAGAACTTGCCATCACTATTATTCTAAATAAACTATAGAACAGTCACTGAGTGGCCTTTCAAGAAAGTTTAACATCTAGGCTAGTGATACACACAGCATCAATTCTGAAGCTTTAAACATAGCCTAAAGTTATTATTTATTTATTTAAAATATTTTACCCCACATTTCTTCTTAAAAAGGAGCCAAGGTGGCATTCATCACTAAAAGACAACATTTAAAACCTAAAAATATTAAGTAGATACATATTTAAAAATAATCAAAGAAATACCATACTAAAAATGGTCAACAAAATCAGTACCAAAAATATATTCAAAAGCAACAAGACACATGAATCTATTGAACCCTTTTCAGATATTCAGTCACTAAAGGAATGCCTATCTGAAGATAAGGGCCTTTGTCTGCTTCTGGAAGGACAGCAAAGATAGGACTAGCTTAGCCTACTGTGGGAGGGACCTCTAGTGTCTAGGACAGTGGTCAGGGAACAGGGGTAAATTACCCCAAATGGGGTAATAATGAAAATCCTGGGGGTAATGAGGACTGTCGCGGCAGGCATTTTACCCCCAGGCATTTTATTTCCGACGATGGTATCTGTAGGTGGGCGTTCTGTCGCGGGAAGAGTGAGCCTTAGTGAGAAACTGCACAGGGCACCCACCTGTCCTCCATGCCTCCAAAGTGGGGAGGAGGGTGGCATACCAGACCAGCTGGACTTTTTACCCGACAATAATTTTTTTGCGGGGTAAAAGGTAAAAAAGTTCCCTGACCCCTGGTCTAGGAGCAGCAACAAATATGTCCTCTCCCATGTACCGACCAAACACACTTGTGAAGGGGTGAGATCAAGAGAAAGGCCTCCTTTGACGATATTAACATCAGTTGGCCTTTGTAAAGACAAGTTCCATTTGAGGTTGTCATCATTGCAAACACTCTAGAATCAAAATAATCCCAAACTTTAAACAAATATGACATTAACCCAAACTCTATAAGTGAAGAATATCCATATTAATTAATCAAAAAGTCTGCAGTATATAATATGCTGATTAGGTAGATTCTGATTAAGTAGATTAAATTTTCCAGTCCTATCAACAGGTTTGTATTAAAAGCCATGTCAACATAGGTTGGGCTTGATGTACTGTTTCCAAAATGTATCCTGTTCAAACAGTACACTGAAAGAACAAAAAGATAAATTCTAAGAGAATAACATGGAAAATCGTGTACTGAATATAAATTATATAATGAATAGAATCAAGACTGCCAGTTCCAGATACAAAGGAAAGGTAATTATTCTCATTTACTTTTAGCTCTAAATAAATGGTAACGTTTTAATACCTTGAACAGCAGAATGATATAACCATTAAAATACTAAAACATGGTTCATTCCCATGTTAATTGTGACTCTTTCCTTTCACAAAAAGCACTTTTGAATTAGAAGAGTCTTCCAGGAATTAAAGGGAGATATTTCTCTAGCTCCTCCTTCCGCCCCCCCCAGCCCTGTCCACCATTTGTTCCTTTCACAGAGTTTTCTGTGACCAGAAAGACAATGTTGGATACAACCCATGGTCTTCATAAGCATCAGTGTTCTCACTGCATCATAGATGGGTTGAATAATAAATTCCACTTAAATTATACATTGGTTCACATATACTTGTTGTGACAAACCCAGACCTACTGGGATAGGCCACAGTTTCACTAAGCTGCCACCAACCATTCCCTATAAGAAGTCACACAGACCAGGGATGGATTTTTAACAAATAAAAGAACAAGGTTTATTAAATAACACACAGGGAAAAATAAAAGGATCAAGTGAATAAGATACAGTAACGTGGCTTAGTCTTAATCATACATACACACAGTTTGGTTCACACAGAACGCATTTAACTAAAGCACAGACCCTGAACCTATCAGTTCTGGCTAACCCTACAGACACCTGAACCTATCAGGTTGGTACTGACTGACACACAGTAGTACCCTGTCTGACACACAGACTCCCACACCAGCTTCTTCTCTCAGCTCTCCTCCAGCTCTCAACTTCTTCACACAGGCTCCACATATATATACAGTACAGCCCCTCCTCCTGATGTCCCGCCTTCCACTCCCCATAGGATGGAACTTTCCCTCCAAACCCATGACAGACAGGTAACATCAGTGCTGTATGTAACACTTGTAACTTTTGATTACTCAATGAGTGTTGAGTGGTAGGCTGGCTCTGCCAACAGATTACATGGGAAAATGCTGTGTCTTAGGTGGCATGGTGTATGTGTTATTTGCTCTGTGATGTCTTGTTCACACTGGCAGCCATAAAGCAATGGACATGCATGTGGAATTGGCCCCAACAATTTGTCATGTTCATTGAGTAACCATTGCAGCTGGTTAGGACAAAATTGTTCTCAGTGACCTTTCTTTCCCTGTATGGATGATTGCTCTTCATTGTTGTTGCTTTCTTGAAGGCCAGAATTGCATGAAAAACTTAAGCTGTGGGAGGTGGCTTACAGGAAATTATTTCTTTCCTCCATAGCAGCATCTTGTAGACATCAAAGAGGTGATCTAAATCTGTCTATGTACAGAGCATTTTATTCTTTATGTGGGCAGAAATTATTAAATGTTTGTCACTTCACTTGGAAAAAAGACCGAACTCAGGTGGATGTTCAGTGTATCCTAAAAAATAGCACATTACCCTCGGGTTTCGTACAATAGGGAGATAAGCTTACACAACCCAATGTACTTTGGCTGGAACATCCAGTAGGAACCAGAGCAAAAGGACATAAATAGAAGCTTACCTGCCTCGATGGCTTAATACATGGAATCATTTTACATGCTGCTATGAGTATCACATGGATCTGTTTATATCCATGAGGTAATGTTGTTTGTATAAATGACTCTCCATGGGTGATTTTTGGCATCATGTTTGGGTTAACTGAGGATGTCTCCTCCTGTTCTTTAGGTTACTGCCTGTGTATAACCTGAGGAGGACTGGAGTCCAATTTATGTTTGCCCATTGTCAGTAGTGTTCTACTGTTTTACTTATTGTGATAGTTCTCAAGACTAAAAAGTTGCCAAAATATAGGCTCCACACAGATGATTCCTACTGTTGTTGGAGTGTGACTTGTTGTTTCTCATTGTGACTGAGGTAGGGAGATAACTTACAACCTCTTAAATAAGTAGATCCAGAACATTCTTTAAAAAATGATTTTAAAAGTTGATCCTAAAGGCTGGGAAAATGCACTATATTTGGACAAATGGACCAAACTGGGATATTTGTGCAATTTTGTGGTGACTATGGATGGTTCCTCATGGGGCAGAACAACACCTCCATGGATCCTTCATGTTCCATCAAGCATTCATGGTTTTTAATGAAAGATATCCATTTGAGCTAAGAAAACGGAAACACGACAGAGCTGGTGGCTCCAAAAGGCAAGGCAGCCAAATCTCCCAATAAAGCCCAAGATCTCCCCTAGGCACTTCAACCTATGAGGCATTAGGGAGGCATTAGAGAAGATTCAGACTGAAGTCACCGTACACGACCTATGCCCTTGCTACTGAGCTGCCAGCCATTTCACATAAGTGTAGAGTGAAGTGGAAAACCTGCATTGTCATTGCTAACTTGGACTGGCATTCCAGCTTTCTTTTTTGTTTCTTACCGTTTACTATGAAGTTTACTGCTGGGATTCAGTGTGTTTGTGATGGAAGCCTGTATTTCCCCTATATGGGCTTTTAATGGTTAGGCCAGAATTAGTGTTGTAGGTCTGTCTTTCGTCCTTCACATCTTCCGCCTTTCCCCTTCTTTATAATGGTGCAGATCCATCTGCCTGCTGGCCTTGTCAGTAGCTAGAAAGGTGCTTGAAGGCAGAAATAAAATCTTACTGTCTACCATAGATTGATAGTCCTATGTGACTCCACTCCAGATCATAGCTTGTATCTTTCCCATTCATGAGGATGGGATTTTTTCATAGAGATCTATAGATGAAGAAATGCCATCAGAGATGCAAATAAGGATCATGTTGGCGGGTCACGAAAAGGGCAAAGGACCAGTTGGGCACTTACATTTTTAAAGCCATTTTAAAAATTGACTCTTCAGGCAGGCCTTCCCTCCAGTCAATTAGCTGATCCCTATCTTTCTTGCTTGAGTTATGCCGCCTTGGTAATATGCTGCTTAGAAATAAGTGTTAAAACTGTGTTTTAGATGATTTTATATTGTTCATATTGTTGTGCTTTTATTCATGTAAGCTGCCCCGAGTAGACGTTGTCTAGAGGGGCGGGGTATTAAGTCTAATCAATCAATCAATCAATCATTGTGCCCTTATTTGGAAATGGACTGTGTCAAGGGTGTTGGTCATCCATAGTAGAGACAAAAGGCCCTATTAGCATCATACCATTGTAGATGGCTGTCAGAAGCTCAACGGAGAAGTTGAGTCTGACTACCCTGGTGAAAGAGTTCCATAACAGGGGTACTGTCAGAAAGAAAGTGTCATCTGATGTACCAACTAACCATCTAAGGTTGGAGGGGCACACTGCAGATATTTCTACTAGAAGAAAAGTATGGTAAATAATGGAGACCCTCTAAACACACAACCACATTGGAGATGTCCAGGCTAATAATAGTATTGCTATTGTGGCTACTGAAGAAGTGCTTCATAACACACTGTCAGAAAAATGCTTGATATTTTTCAAATTATCCTTTGTTTCAGTGCCAGAGGGTTAACAGTAAGATGTAATTATTTGATGACAGCTGAGTAAGAATGCTTTTCTCTGTGATTTCAGGTTGACACTCATATCCACGCTGCTGCATGCATGAATCAGAAACATTTGCTGAGGTTCATTAAGCACACTTACCAAACTGAGCCAAACAGAATAGTGGGGGAGAAAAAAGGAAAGAAAATCACTTTGAAACAGTTGTTTGAAAGTCTCCATATGGATCCCTATGACCTCACTGTAGATTCATTAGACGTTCATGCAGTAAGTACGATTTAAGCAGTAGACAAAACTTGAAAATGAAGATCAGGGTAGTATAAAATTAGCAATGCAATGAAGAGAGAGAGATTTTTGCTGCATGAATTAAGCAAAGTGAAACATTTTCTGGGGTCTTGTGTTAGCAGAGATACAACAGCTGTGATACAAGGATATCTGCAAGCGGGATCTGAAGGCCTTAGGAATGGACCTCAACAGATGGGAAACCTTGACATCTGAGCATTCAGCTTGGAGGCAGACAGTGCAGCATGGCCTCCCCCAACTTGAAGAGGCACATGTTCAGCAGGTTGAGGCAAAGAGGCAGTCCCAAAACCAGCAAAATAGGAACTGGACAGAGAACAGATTGTATTTGTCTTCAGTGTGGAAAGGATTGTCACTCTCGTATTGGCCTTCTCAGCTACACTAGATGCTGTTCCAAGACCTCTATTCAGAGCACATTACCATAGTCTCCCGAGACTGAAGGATGCCTACTGTGTTAAGCTAATATGTTCTGAACTAAAGCTTTCTTTGATACATTCATATTTTACATTGCAGATACAAAAAAAGAAGGTTTTTGGCATGAAGTTGGACACAAAAATGTCTTTATTATGAATATAAACAACAGACAGCAAGTGTCACGTAACACAATGTGTATAAGAGTTAAGAAGAGTTTGGTTTCTATTCTGAAATCAAACTGCCCAACAGCATTAAAACAAGTGTCCTATTTTTGGACAGAATTCCTCTTCTTTAGTTCCATCATGACTGAAAGTTTGCAGATCCTACAGACTGCAGTGGGATAGACACTGAAGCAAACACTCAGCCTGATGATTTATGTTTCACTTTTGGAGAGCAGGGGTGGAGGGACGGGTCTGGTATGGCATTTAGCTGGAAAATCTGCTTTTTAAAAGCCCAGGTGTTATATTCATATGATATTGCAATATGTTGTTAAAAAACCAATATTCCATTTCTGTTACTTGATATATACTCTAATTTTTATCTCTCTCAGGATCGCCAGACATTTCATCGGTTTGATAAATTTAACTCCAAATATAATCCAGTTGGTGCAAGTGAGCTGAGGGACTTATATTTGAAAACAGAGAACTATCTTGGAGGTGAATACTTTGCTCGTATGGTGAAGGTAAGAAGCTTTCCATCAGTTAGTGTCTGATGCTTGCCTTCAGAAAGAAGTGAAGGAACATAATGCCCTGTCGGATGTATTATTGGGAGTATGTGCGAAAGAGCTGAGGCACTGAGTCCTGCAAGCATATGAACTTCCATACTGATAATGAAGTATTGTGTGTATAGCATACCATCTATACAAGTTAGACAAGTTGTAATCTGGCTGTACAATTGGAAATGTGTTCAAAGCAATGAGTGGTGACTCCAAATTTGTGGGGGCACTGAATCTGAACTTTAAAGGAGTTATCCCGGGGAGGGGGGTTGAATCTATTTTCTGCTTCTGCAGACAACACACAACTAAGCAAGAATTAATATAAGCTGAAAGAGTGTTCTTAAACTGAATTGAAAGAATGTTCTGTTTTGTCTCTTTAATGACTGACTTTTGTGGTATTATCTCAAATCGTACATTTTATATTGCAACCTGTTGTAATACGCCTTAGGAACATAGGCAGTTGGTTGCTTCACATTTAGCCCAAACATTGGTCTAGTATCATCTACTTCATTAGCTTAGTATTGTCTACCCCAACTGGCAGCATCTCTCTGTGGTCTTAGTTAGGGCTCTTTCTCGGCCCTATTAGGAGTTCCCAGTGATTGAACTTAGAATCTTTTCAAGGCAACACATCATATCTAACTCAAGCTATGCTTTCCTCTATACACCACCTCAAAAGATGATCAGCTGAAGTAACAATATTATTCTACATGCCTGCAATCTCAAGTTTGCTAGGTGGTTCATGTCACATGTCCTTAATTTCTTTATTGTACTGTCCTTTTCTTGAAGGTTTCTTTCTATTCCAGTTTTCAGTCTTTCACCTAGTTTGCATGTTACTTTGTCTCTGGAATCACATAGCTTCTGCACCTGCTAGAACCTATTGCCAGCCTTCAACCCATATACTGGATTCCATATTTGAATTTCAGCCAAACAAATTTTCCTGGATTGCAGTGTTCTGGCATCATTACTCGTTAAGCTTTTGGGAAGTTCTTGAATGTGCCACACAGCCACAGTAGCTTATCTAACCAGTGTCAGGGTCTTCACTGCCACTAAACCAGCACTGAAAAGAATTTTTTTCAATGCTACATTTGTTTGATGCAGATCTCTTTTGCATTACATCTTTCTACTGACAGTGGAGAAAAAGAAAGGAAGAAGCTAAACTAAATTGTCACAATAGGTTGCCTAAAAGAAAGAACAGCCCTGTCCTTAGACATATGACAAAATCCTGTTGGATGTTAAATTGCCATGATGGAGTGTCAAGAGCACAATTAGTCTGACTGCACAATTTACTAATTCCTTTTCCATGTACATAAAATCCCAGTAGGATTTTGGCCATTCTTTCTTATATGATCTGTACAGAACTACAGTATCTCTCCTTAACATGGGTTTCTCTGCCACCATTACCTCTTAGACTTCACTTCTGGAGCTCTTGCATGTGTTAAAGGCCACAAGGGTAGCATGCTAGAGTTTCTTTGGTACAAGAAATGTTTTAATATAACAGTTTGGCAGCACAGCTTCCGATATTTGTTGCGTTCTTTGCTGCCTCATGGTTGGTTTGTGCAGGTGTTCCCATAGAGAGTGTACACGATTTTCATCTTGTGGCAATGTCAGTGTTGCATAGGGAGATAGCAAATATTGCCTTATGTGTGTTCTGACATAGTCCAACATGCTCACACTATGGACCATTGTGTGAGGAGAAGAAGCAAAGAGAATTCAGCTGGATGATTCGGGATGAAATTATTGCTTCCCTCCTACTCTTTGTTATGATTTGGCTGAAGCCAAAGAATGTACAGTGGTGCCTTGCTTAACAATTACCTTGTTAAACAACGAAACCGCTTGACGTTGAAGTTTTTGCTATCACTTTTGCAATCTCAAAACAATGTTTTAATGGTAAAAAATCGCTTAACGATGATCGGCTCCCTGCTTTGGGAACCGATTTTTCGCTAAATGATTATTTTGAAACAGCTGATCGGTGGCTCTAAAATGGCCACCTGCTGTGCAAAATGGCTCCCCGCTGTGTTTTCAGGACGATTCCTCACTTTACAGGCACCGAAAATGGCCGCCCTATGGAGGATCTTCGCTGGACACTGAGGCATTTAGCCCATTGGAACGCATTGAACCGGTTTCAATGCATTTTAGTGGGCTTTTTCATTTTGCTTGACGAGGATTTCGCTTAACAGCGATTTCAACAGAATGAATTATCCTCGTCAAGCGAGGCACCACTGTACATTGGACTTTGAACATACACAGTTAAAAGGATTTCAGATAGTTCTGACATTGACAGCTACTGAAGGAAAAAGGAAAGTTTAGGGCAGTGATGGTGAACCTTTTTGAGCCCGAGTGTCCAAACTGCAAAAAACAAACAAACAAACAAAAACCAGCAGGTGGTGGCAGCAGTGGAAGCGGAAGTGGCGGTGGCAGAAGCAGGAATCCCAAGCACAGAGGTGCCTCTAGACCCCACTCCAGATCTGCCTTCAGTTGTGCCCAACCCCACCAATACCTATAGCTCGGCTGAGTCGCTGCCGCCAGTGCCAGCTGCTCGAGATCCTGGCCCGCAACCCCACCAATACCTATAGCTCGGCTGGGTCGCTGCCTCCAGCTGCTCGAGATCCTGGCCCATTGCCTGTCGGGGCAGTAGCACTGCAGCTGCCGCTGCCTCCTCAGGTTTGGCTGCTGGGAGTAGCGATCCAGTGACTTATGGCTCGTGTTCCCACAGAGAGGGCTCTGCATGCCAGCTGTGGCACATGTGCCATTGGTTCACCATTGCTGGTTTAGGGCATTGAGTCATTTATTCAGGTTTTTGAAAAATAATAATATGGACTTGTTAATCTGCAATTTAGAAATTAAGTTCATTTAGATTCCATTTAGAATGGGAAAATCTGTGCATTGTCTTTTTTGTCTCTGGAAAATGATTGCTGAAATACTAATTTATTTAAATTTGCATTACTTTTATATCATTCTGTGAGTGAGCCCAAGCAGACATGATAGACAAAATTCAACACTCAGCTTCAGTCAAGAGGAGCAAACTAGATGTGATGTTAATTGCATGGGTACAATTTTATTCGCACAATTGATGGCACATCTACTCTGACCTTGAGGGAAAAAAATGTTCCAAGAGTATACGTAGGTGGATATCATTCTGAAAACAATATGTGCTATAAAGCAAGTGCGGGATGTCTTTTAATTTTGTATGGTCTTTTTTGTCTTTGTTTAAAAGTAGAAACGGTGTGATTTGCTGCTGTGTGTTTTGAATTTAAAAAAAATATTTCTTCCCTATGTGGATCTGGGAGGGATCATTATAGACTCATCAAAGCTATGTTTGCTCGGAGCACACAGGCAGGCGTATCATCTTGTTTGATTAACAGGACATCTGTGTGTCTTCTCCAGAAATGCAATGAATGAATGAATGAATGGGGAAAGGACTGTACCCCAAGAACTGCTAGGGCATGCATGATCTGTGCTGATCTGTATTAAATGCAGTATTCTGCAGTATGCTGCCTCATGAATTTAAGAAATCCGTTGCAAGACCAGATGAAGACCTGCCACTCACTCTGCTTAGTGTTGTTCTTCATAAGCAACCATCAAGCACTATATGTTATATAAGAAACTACTTAGTGCTTCTCCAGCATGACCTGGATTACATTCTGCTGTAATGCTTCAACCTGAATGTGAAAGTGTCAAATGGCTCAGGTTGCAGATTCTCAGTTGCAGAGAGCTCTGCTCAGTACATACTAAAACACATGATTTATTTGATGCAGATAGGATCTTTCTTCATTCAGTGCCCAAATGGCTGAAAGACAGTTTTAACCTCCCCCTCCATTTATATATGTATGTTTGATTTCTGTGTTTCACTGTTGCGCTCTGGAACTGGTTTGCAACATCCTGTCTTCTGTAACATCTGCTAGCAACAGCTAGGAACATATGTGTAGAGAAGCAGATTTCTCTGTGTGCATGGCTAATGGGATGAATGATCTTATACACAAAAGGGTTGCTCTTGAGCTTGCTTTTCTGTACAGTTGGTTGGCTGCTTGCATGAAAGCCTATACAAATTCCTGGTTATGGAATTCAACCTTTGCAGTATGCCACTATGCTGACAGACTGGGGTAACAGGGATGCATGCATAGTCTGATTTTGTCTTGTGGGAACTTTAAATGGACTGAACAGGACTTCTACAATATTGTTTCCTACCTTTGCTTGCAGTGAAAAGATTTAGCGGTTTCATTTATTTAAAAATATGTGTATCCCATTTCCCAGTCACAATTTCTGAGACAGAAAGTACTGCATTGCTTTACATCAGAGAGAGGGTGAGAGCAGTTGCAAATATTTCCTCAATATGGAATAAGTTGGTTGCAGAGATCCAATGGGCAGAATTTTGGTCATGGAATGTTCCTGACAACATAAGAATAGTGCTGGGCCAGTCCAAGCACTATTCTGCCTAATCTAGCATTTTATTCACATACTGTAGTTGCCAGCCAGATGGACATAGCGATTTCATCAGCTGGCACAAAATGCAACTACAACTGCACCTTCCCTGTTATGTTCACAAGAGAAAATAGAGTACTGCCTCTGATATTGGAGACAGATATAAGCATCCTGATGAGCAGAAATAGATGGCCCTAACCTCCATAAATTTATGTAATGCTCTGAAGGACGTCCTGGTTTGGCAGGCATTACTATATCATGTTGCAGTGAATTCCACAGTTTAACTGTGTGAAGAATGAGGATGGAAAGAATGTTTGCTAAGCTTCCCATTCCCCTCGGTTATGGCTATTTCAATATAAGACATCTTCAAGGCATTTTAAAGCCCTGTGGGAGTCTGTGCTTTTAACCAAGAGCGATAAAAAGAGATTTTTTTTCCATACATGTTGCCACCATAGAAGAATTAGCTGGTTGTAAAGAAACTCATGTCAGCAACCCATCTGGTGTTCCAGATTCATACATAAAATGACAATTATCCTCATTTCGGGCAATTCACAAAATTTCTATAAATTTGTACATTTTTATCATTAAAATGCAAACATTTGATTTTATTGTGCAAAACATTCGTCTTACATGAGAATTCTATCAAAATCTCCAAGACGTTTTTCCTTGTCCTCACTATTAAGGCAAAGAATGTTGCAGTTTCTTGTCCTTTCTATTGGGATAATGCAAGCAAAGATTTTCATCCCTAGTGAAGAAATACTTTTGACTGTCCTGATTCTTCTCTCTTTTCTCATTCAGCATCTCTCTCTCTGTGAGAGAGAGGGGGGGGAGCATATCCTTTTCCATTTTCTTTACAAAAGACATATAAGGAAACCAGATGGAACCAGATGTGATTTTGGGGCTTTTTCTTACCCTTATACAAAGGAATGTCTGCTTGGGAGTAAGCCGCAAGGCAGTCAATTCCTCCATACTGTGTCATTAATTTCAATGGGTCTATTGTACTTGCAAGTTTTTGTGTTAAAGTAAGTTGCAGCTAGAGTTGTTCCATTTGAATCCATGGAGTTTATGAAGGACTTGATTCACTAATCTCCATTCTTTTAGTTGGCATATTATAGTATGCCTTACTATGCTAAGCAACAGGATTTCAGCCTGTGTGTGGTTATGAATGAGTGGGGAAAATTCCAGTGGATATGAGTAAATTACATACCCGATGCTTCTATGGATCCTGAGATAAAGTTTTGAGTGGAAAATGCAGTACACAGATGCTTAGTTAGCAATCTGGACTACTGATACATCTGAGCATAGTTCCATGGTAGGATATGCGTTTAAGCTTTTATGACATGATATGTTGCTTCTGACAGAAAAGTAATAACGATTTATTTTGAATAGGAAGTTGCTCGTGAACTAGAAGAAAGTAAATACCAGTACACAGAACCTCGGCTGTCTATTTATGGACGTTCCCCTGATGAATGGCAGAATCTGGCTAAATGGTTTATTAGACACAAAGTTTATTCACCTCACATGCGCTGGATGATTCAGGTTCCTAGAATCTAGTAAGTAGAAAGTAACATGACACAACACAACACACACACACCTATAGGTATTGAATCTGTAACACTGCAGAATCTCAGACTTACAATGGTAGATGTAATGCAGTGGATCTAATGTAGATCTAAATAGATCTAAAAACACCAGCACCTCTTAGACCTTTCATATGCAGCAGTATTGTATAAAATATTATAATTGTGAAATGGTCTATATTATATATCTAGGGTGCTTCTTAGAATGTTGTCATGGTGATTTCACAGTTAATAACCTTCAGAGGGGAGGCCTGAGGAATGGCAATGGTCAAATATGAGGCAAAAAATAAAAGAAAAAAAGAAGACAAAAATATTGTGGCACCTTAAAGACTAACTGCTGTATTTTCATGTAGGCTTTCATGGACAAATCCACTTCCTCATATAGGAAGTGAATTAGTCCATGAAAGCTCACATTAAAATATAACAGTGTCTTTAAGGTGTCACAATGCTTTTGCCTTCTTTATTTTTTAATTTTTCATTTGTCTTTGACCTGATATGGTGGCAGTGGCTAACATGACTATCTCTTCTAAACCTGCATCAGTTATAACATGTTAGTAATGTGAAACACAGTGAGTTACAGCTTCCTGGTCGGTGCTGAGAAAAATAAAGACCTGGCTGAGTTTTAGTAGTAATGTTCTAAGTCCTTAATATAACTGCAAACTAAAAAAAAAACAGATTAATTAATTATTTCCATACTTCTACAATGAAAACCAAGTGAAATTCACGGAACTAAATGCTAGGCAGACACATGCACAGGATTATTGTGCTGTTAGTATCTTAGGGTGAGGAACACAGGATGTCATTCTTAACACTAAATGTTTGCATTTGTAAGTACATCAGTTAATGTTTTAAGCCATTATTCTAGCCATGCTAGAATTTATGTGGCATAACCAGAATGCAGTGTCTCTAGAGAGTTGAAAAATAAGTCCACAAAGCCAAAAAAGTCTCCATGAGCCATATTACTCACAGAGAGGCAGCATAATGCAAAAGAGCATAACAGTTGCATCAGTCACTCAGACTGAAGCTGTCAAAATGAGGTATTTCATGACTGAACTGCAGACAGGGTGTTTTTTTTAACAGTAGACACTGGGTGAGTTTGCATATACCAGTAAACCATAACTCACAGTTATGTCCACAAGCAGGAATGTGTTTGGCTTGTGCAGTCTCTCTTTTACCTTTTGTTCTCCTATATAGGTGTGAAGATGAATAAAACAGAGCTTAGTTTTCACATTGCCCATATTTACATGTACAAAGTTAATTCCCAGCAACTTTAGCAAGAAGTAGGGGGGGGAAAGCTAGGAGAAACACGTAAAACAGACAGTTTTGCACCTATTTTCAAATAACCTGCAATAAAAAGCAATGTATAGTTCCTGCTTCTCTAGCAGATTCCTGGCTTACAATAATATGCAAATGAGGAGCTCTACTTCAAAATAAACTCCCATCAATTGTTAAATGAACCAGCGTCAAACTCCAGAATATATTTGTGGTTTTGTTAAAGTAAGCAAGAACTTATTTTAAAGCACAGTTCCCACTTCGCTTGGAACTATCAAGGAAAAGTCCTCTGAAGAAAAACTGGGGACTGATTCATATCTCCTCTCAGTTCTCCCATGCAGAGTATATGTGTAACACGTATGTGTGTAACATCTGAGTCTAGTGCTTCATGTGTGAGAAAACTGTGGTCATGATTCTACTGCTAATTTCCACCTGGCATGAGAGAAAGCTATTTCCTTCATGCAAGTGTAAATAAGCAAGAAAATACTGGTCCTTCTCTAGGAAACAAATTCAAATCAGGTACACCGATGACAATTAATGAAATGTATGCTAAAATTGCACATTATCATTCAGACAAGTGGAGAAGTATGTCTAAATATATCTTGAACTCTTGAGTTTGAAAAAAAAAAGGCATCCAATTATGATATGGGGATTGCAGCTGAAGTGTGAGTGCACAAGTAATTCTGTCAACATATCTGAGTTCCCAAGGCTCCATTGTTGCTTCAGCATACACTTTTCCTTATGGCCACATAGGTTGTTTGGTGTGACTAAAAGATCAGGCTGGGATATATAAAACTGCTTGAAACTGCATTCAGCTATGAAATTTACACAGAAGTTAAGTTTTGGTTGCTTAGTGTTGCAGTACAAAAACCCAAACTTCGCAAGCTCTTCATGCTCATGCAGTTCATGACTGATGCAATTATTTCCATAAATAGTTCACGTATGCTGTGTACCAAAGGTCAGGAAAAGAGCAGAACACTGGAAGGCCACATGTAAGGACTTATAAAAATGGCCTCAACACTAGCAAAACATCCAAATACAATACAACACATTCGTTGGCAGATTGGCAGGGTATGTGTGCACAGTGAGCGTTGCTGCACCTGAGAGAAGGCATGGTGTTTGGAAGAACACTCCCTAAGTAGCAGAGCAAAAATGTACTCAAGACTTTTTCTTGCTTTCAGTGATATATTTAGGTCCAAAAATATTCTGCCTAGTTTTGGAAAAATGCTGGAAAACATCTTCTTACCCCTGTTTGAGGCTACTATCAACCCTTTGGATCATAAAGAGTTGCATCTCTTTCTTAAATATGTGAGTATGCAAACAGCTGCATGTATCTAGGGGTCCTTTATTGTCCTGCATTCCTCAAATTTTGTATTTGCAAATCCCCCCCACTAACACTTTGTTTTGAAAAGGAGGCATCAGCATTTAAAGCTACAGTAAGAGGCTTTAAACTATTTGAGCAATACTTGGTGAAATGAAATCTCAGAAGCTAATGATGGGTTCTGGGCAGAGCGTCCAGCGAACAGGGCATCATAACCTGACATAGCCCTTCTGGCCTGCCTCCTGTTTTTTTCTTGGTATTGAATTTGGACCACTTAAGCGCAAAGTTCTTATTTTGCCTAATAACTTAGGTTTAGAATGCTGCCTTTTTTGCACAGCTCCCCAAGTTTCTCTCTCCATTAATGTCAAGGCAGGAATTGTACAGTTGATCTGTTATACATTGATCCAGTTATTTATGTGCATGCAAACTCAAATTGGGAGTGCTGGACGAGTCTGCACAAATATTTCATTCATCAAGTGTAGGTTTTTTTTTTTTTGCTGTTTTAAGAAGGAAATACTAGTTTTTGTCCTGCTTTAAGGTAGCTTAGCTTTTTTAAAAACACAATTTTACATTATGATGAGAGAATGTAAAATTATATGACTACCCTGTACATTGAGGAAGACATCACATAAAACTTAATTATGAGAGGCAAAATTGACGGTTGTAGGTTTTGCCCGTTAAAAGCAATTGTGTAAATCCATTTGTCAGTACATAGAACCAGGAGCACATTAGAGATTTAAATTTTGATTTTTGATGTTTTTAAAATCAGAACAGAGAACAACTTTGAACAGTTATGAAATGGTTGATGGCTGGTGGAGTGTGGTTTGAGAAATGGAAGTGATCTCATTAGGTACCTAGTTTTGTGATTATGTAAAGAAAGACAGTCTTGCTTTAGACCAATGGTTCCCATCTTTGAGTCCCCAGACGTTCCTGGATTAAATCTAACAGAAGCCTTCATCACCAGCTGTGCTAACCAGGATTTATGGGAATTGTAGTCCAAGAACATCTGGGGACCCAAGGTTGGGAACCGCTGCTCTAGACAAGAGATGACACCTTTTCCTTCCAGTGCATGAATTGCCATTGGGCCAGGAGTCGCTGGTGGTCTCTTCAGAACTCAAACTGTGACGCACAGCTTCATAACACAGTAAAAGAGCCTCAACATATATCCTCTAAAACAATTTGTAACATAGAAATCTTTCCCTCACTGATTACAATAAGCTTTTAAGGAAAGTTTATGTTCATGGGAGTTCTACTTTGTGCCAGATATGGTAGAGACCGATAGGTGGAATTCCAGTTCAGTGGAAATTAGAGGGATTTTCATCAATGTCAGATCCTCATTTCTTCATGCTGAAGTGTATTCACATGCAAATCTGGTTTTGTTGGGTTCCTAGGTGACAGGGTTTGATAGTGTGGATGATGAATCGAAGCACAGTGACCACATGTTCTCTGAGAAGAGCCCTAATCCTGATATTTGGACTAGCGAAACGAATCCACCATATAGTTATTATTTGTATTACATGTATGCAAACATAATGATTCTCAACAATCTTAGAAAGTAAGTATATCTTCATAACTCTTGTAGAAATGAGTGACATAGATTTTAGACAGCAGCTTAATCAGACTAACAGCATCAATTAGAATATGGATATATTTAAGATCTCCATTTTTTAGCGGTCCCTCGCCCCATTTCCTGTTTATACTACTTCAAGCTGCATATAGTCATTCTTTCCTGTCCGGAAAAAGAAAGTGAACATTTCCCAGACTGAAACGCTTGCTCCAGGAGATAAAAGTTATGCATGCGCCGCCTTGTGGTAATAGTTGGTCATCTTTTGAGAATGTGCAGAAGAACAACAAAAAGTTGGAATCCAGCCGTCCTCATCCTACTCCTGTGATTCTAAAGCAGTTTTTCTTAACTTGGATTTCTCCTGTGTTACACTACAGCTCCCATCACCTCTGAGCGTTGGCATACTGGCTGGGAGTAATGGAAGCTGGGGAATATATGGCTGTTGGTACACATAAAGACTGGTCAGTCAGGGAGGCCAAAAAAAAGGGAAGTCAAGGTCAACTGATGGGAAAATTTATAGAAAAGGGTTAACCATTTAATTAATTGTTAGTGAACTCAACATCTATTCCAGCAATTCACTAACAGTTAAATAACCTTTTTCTGCTAGGTTTTCCACCTCTCAAGTCAGCAGCAGGTTGGGCTAACTAATTCTAGTTTTGTTCCCTTCTTGCACGGGCATCACAGTATAACTCTTTAACATTTAACATGTAGATAAACTGAAGAATAGTCTTATGCTGCTTCACTCGCTTTCTTGCTTGTTTCTATGCTTGGGGGAAAGTGTGTCCCCTACCATCTTTTTTCATCATCAGGCAGCAGGGCAATGCCAAACTTGCCTTAATGGACCAGCCTCCAAGTTGTGAAATGCTGTACTGAACAGAGGATTATTGCAGATTCTACCCAGGAGTGTGTGTGCTTCCCAATCCACCCCACTGTCTTTTCTGCTTGATCTCCTAGGTCAGGTTTTGCAATTTAAGAAAACAAACATGCAGCATGCTTTTGAACAGTTAAGTCTCATGATTTACTGAGTAGGAAATAGCATCCCCATCTGAAGTGGATATGCTATGTTTAATATCCACAGTGCTGGCCTGATCAAATCAGTTTTCCAGGATTTAATAGCACTGTAACTGGAGAGGCCAAAACTAGGACCCAGCAATATAACCCTTGCAGGAGATGCATGCTTAAGACTGGCTTTGGTACTTTACAGGTTTGTGTCTGTGACAGCGCTGGTGACATTCTCTTGATCTTAGCCAGAAGGGCAGGGTCACTTCTCAGTCTGCCTGGGACTATTTTAAAACTTTCCTGTTGTATATTAGCAGGAGGACACATGTAACATGCTTATTCTTCTGCCTGTGTTGTTTTGTGCCTTTCAAAAAGAGAGAGAGAGAGAGAGAGAACGTGTTTTTTCACAGAAAATGTCCTGCCATTTCAAAAACATTTCATATTTTGAAATAAAATTTGATTTGAACATGGTTGGCTCAAAAATAACTTTTACCTCTTTTATGATTCTGCTCAAGAGCAAAACTGAATGGCAAGCAATTTCAAGTCATAACTCTCTTGATTTATGTGGGAATGGAGGAAATTGCTGCAATTGAGAAATGCAAAACAGGAAAATTTAAGTGAAAAGGCTCTGCTCTGTTACATTTGTTTTTAAGCTATCCAAAACTAGGTCAGGACTTTTTTCCCCTGGTAGTTGGTAGGGGAAGAGTTGCCTTTGTTATTCCATAGAAATGATAATCAGACTCACTGCCTGAATCATCTTGTGACCTGCGATGAATCAGTGGGCTTACAGTGATAAACACACTGTAGTGTAATCCTCTGAAACACAGAGCTAACCTTATTACCTGAGGCATGAAAGCAACTGGTATCCCAACTCAGAAGCAAGTGTGAATAATACTCCATGCCAGCCAAGCTGTTGTGGCATGTGAGGAAGAAAATTCCTTTAATAACTTCCATTCAAAGTTCTTACTGTAACAAAGTTCCTCATGAATACATTTACTAATTAACCATTTGCTGCCTTCTCATGATGCCCCAAATATGGCAGCCATCTCAATCTGCCACCCAGTAGAATGAAACTGACTTGGGAGTAGACGTGCAGAAAATAAAGCTGGTTATTGTCTCACATTCAAAAACTTGTCTCTATAATGAATATTATGAGTTTACAGAGTAAAAGTTATTATGGCTATCCAGGAATTGAAAAGGAAGACACATATTTTAATTGTATAACAAAACAAAGCACACTGGCACCTTAAAGACAAAGAATTTCAGTGTGAGCTTTCACATACTGTATTGCAGTCAATATAATCAGATGGTGTCTGAGGAAGCAGATTGTAATCCATGAAAATTCACACTGAAATGAATCTTTTAGTCTTGAAGGTGTGATAAGTTTTTCCATTTTTATTTTTATTATACAAGTTGAAACAGGCTAACATAACTACTTTTCTGACATCTTTTAATTGTATGTACTTTACATGTCTGTAGGGAAAGAGGTATGAACACTTTTCTGTTTCGGCCCCACTGTGGAGAAGCTGGATCCATTACTCACTTGGTATCAGCCTTTTTAACTGCAGACAACATTTCCCATGGATTACTCCTGAAAAAGGTACTTTTGTTATTCATCTACTGGAGTGTATGAGAATAGAGAGTAAGAATGGCAGTAAATATAACAATAAATGTATGTTCTCCAGTCTTCCATATTGCACTGTTCCATACATGCCTGCAGAAATTTACTCAGTGAGACTCCTATATTTTCTAGTAGAATATAAGAAGTGCCAGAGACAAATGGGACATAGTGTAAGGAACATTAAAGGCCACAATCCTATGTGCATTACCTAGGTAAAACTCTACTAGCTTTAGAGAGTCTTGCTCCCTAGTGAGTATAAGTAGGATTGAACTACAGTGGTGCCTCGCTTATTGACGTTAATCCATGCAGGATAGGCTGTGCAAAAAGGGTTGCTTTGCCATGATTGCTTCCCCGCGATCATCGCAAAGCGAATAATCCTCATAGGGACGATCGCAAAGCGATCACTTTTGCGATTGCAAAAACAGCGTCGCTAAGCGATTTCGTCGCTCAACGGAGCGATCGCTAAGTGAGGCACCACTGTACATGTTACTTGCTTTCAGTTTTGTGTAGCTGAAGTCAATAGGACTTGAAGGAGCTCAATCTTGGCAAGATTTGTGCTTCTTTTCTATTAAGGAACTGACCACTGCATGGCAGATTCAAGCTTTTTAAATTCTGAAGTGACTAGTTCAAATTTAGACATTTTAGATAGTTTTGCAAAAAGAAATCATGTGCTTCCAAGCAGGTTGTTATTGACTATTACATTCAGATCAATAAATTCAGCTTTATTGATTTCTGAAGGAGACAAATGGGACATAGTGTAAGGAACATTAAAGGCCACAATCCTATGTGCATTACCTAGGTAAAACTCTACTAGCTTTAGAGAGTCTTGCTCCCTAGTGAGTATAAGTAGGATTGAACTACAGTGGTGCCTTGCTTAGCGACGTTAATCCATGCAGGATAGGCTGTGCAAAAAGGGTTGCTTTGCCGTGATCGCTTCCCCGCGATCATCGCAAAGCGAATAATCCCCATAGGGACGATCACAAAGCGATCACTTTTGCGATCGCAAAAATAGCATCGCTAAGTGATTTCGTTGCTCAACGGAGCGATTGCTAAGTGAGGCACCACTGTACATGTTACTTGCTTTCAGTTTTGTGTAGCTGAAGTCAATAGGACTTGAAGGAGCTCAATCTTGGCAAGATTTGTGCTTCTTTTCTATTAAGGAACTGACCACTGCATGGCAGATTCAAGCTTTTTAAATTCTGAAGTGACTAGTTCAAATTTAGACATTTTAGATAGTTTTGCAAAAAGGAAATCATGTGCTTCCAAGCAGGTTGTTATTGACTATTACATTCAGATCAATAAATTCAGCTTTATTGATTTCTGAAGACATCAACCTTCAGAACATGGCCAAAGAGCCCGAAAACCCCACAACAACCATCCTGGCCGTGAAAGCCTTCGCGAATAAATTCAGCTTTGTTGGGTTTTGTTCATTCCTTTCTTCCCTACACCTCCCCTTTGAGGGGGCAGAATATTGGTTTTTGAGAGGTTAGGTGATGCAAAATTCATACTTCATTGGAACACTTAAGTTAAATCCTTTCCTTTAACATTCCAAGGTTCAGCAGTTTTTTCATTATAAAATAGTATTTATTTACAGTTTATTTATGAAAAAAAAAACAGAATAACTGCAAATGTAATTGGACAAATTACTGAATTGTGGGAATTAAAGGCAGGGAGGGAAGGTTAAAATATTTCCAAGTCATAAAGGCTGAGGTGAAACACTTTCCATTTCCTCTTACAGAATATTTCCTTTCCTGTTATCTTTCTGTTCTGATGAATTATGATACTTTGTGTTGTTTTTGTGCAGAGTCCAGTTCTCCAGTATCTTTATTATCTTGCACAAATCCCCATTGCCATGTCCCCTCTGAGCAACAACAGTCTATTTCTGGAGTATTCCAAAAATCCTCTACGAGAATTTCTACACAAGGGACTCGTAGTTTCTCTTTCTACTGATGACCCCATGCAGTTCCATTATACAAAGGTAATTTGTAAATAAATGATGTTAAAAGTTCAATACATGAATTTAAGGATTTTTCAAATATCAATTCATAATTAACAGCCCAGTCACATGCATATTTACTTGGAAATAAACCCTACTGTGTTCTGTGGTTCTTTCTTTAATATCTGAATACATCAAATATTTATTTGGAATTAAGTTCCATTCTGTGATTCTTTCTTTAGGGTCAATTTGCTTAGAATTTTAGTAATAGCATAGGTAAAGGTAAGGGTTTCCCTTGACATTTAGTCTAGTCATGTCCGACTCTAGGGGGCAGTGCTCATCCCCATTTCAAAGCCATAGAGCCAGCATTTGTCCAAAGACAATTTCCGTGGTCACATGGCCAGTGCGACTTAGACACGGAACACCATTACCTTCCCACCGAGGTGGGACCTATTTATCTACTCATATTTTTACATGCTTTCAAACTGCTAGGTTGGCAGGAGAGTAATAGCATAATCCTATGCATAATCCCAGGATTTAATCCATAATTAAATCCTAACTATGGGATCATGTAGTATTTCTCCTCATATTTCTACCTAGAACAAGATCTGCTTCTTACTACCTTCTTCAGCTTCTCCTCATGAGTGAAGTATGGTGGGTATCCATTGAGAAAAGGTCATTCTTGATGGCAACCTTGTTTTGATGCACAGCTAGAGACTCAGCTACACTGATGTTGTTTTGATATCAGGCAATGATTTCATTTTCCCCAGTGCTTTAAAACATACACCAGTTTTAAGCAATGGTCTTTCCTATTTGTTTAACAGTGGCCAAAATTCTATTCAGGTATTATGTGCATGCAAAGCTGGCTGGATAACCTAGTGCTTTCAGTGGCCAAAATTCTATTCAGGTATTATGTACATAGCTGGCTGGATAACCTAGTGCTTTTGGTATTTGGCTACAGAGCCAAAGGTGGGGAGTCTGATTCCCCACTGTGCCTCTTGCAAGTAGAGCTAAGCCTGTGTGGCCTTGGGCAAGTTGCACAAGCCCAAGGTACCCCCAGAAGAAGGGAATGGTAAACCACTTCTGAGTACCTGGAAAACCCTGGAAAAGGGGTTTACATAAGTTAGAGTTGACTGATGGCACATGAATATTATTTTATTATGGCTGGCCAATTGTGCAATTTCTTTCTTCTGGTATGTTCCTCTTCCCACAATTAGGGTTACATCACACCTGGCAAAAGAACTGCAATTATACCAATATGGCCATTTTTTAGATTTTTTTCATAAATTTTCAAGCATATGATGCACGGCCAGATTGACTCATTTTCCTGGCCAGTGGTTTATTTCTGGTTTATTTCCCCGTTTCTAGTAGGGTTATTTTATTTTGTACCAATGATGAATGGCTTCATTCCTTATTGTTTCAGCCTGTGTGAATGTTGCCGTTAGTTTATTTCCTTTGCAAAGGGGTTGGGTTTCTGGGTGCTGTGGCCCCTTCATGGCCACTGCCCTTGTACCCTTCTTACATTTTTTTGAAGGCATATCAGCAGTAACAGATACTGCTGCTAGCAAAAACAATATAAATACATTGCGCAGAAGGAGATAGGTCAAAGGATACATCTCCCCCCCCCATGAAAGAGACATTGAACAGAGACATTCCCTGCCTTTTCATTATAAAGAAAGGGGTGTTGCATCTCCTCTTTCTTTTTTTAAATCCTGCTCTTCACAATACTTTGCAAATCCTTCAAAACCTGTTTCTTCCTCCCAGTCTTGTACAAAACACTTGCAAAATATTGTGCTGTCAATTTATTTCCTTTTCAAATGGGTCAGGTAAAGGAGGGAAGGGAAAAAGGGAAGAGGAGAGATGGCTTGGACTTCTCTATTGCACTGTTAATATATCACTTTTGTTCTTTTTTAAAAAAAAAGAACAAAGGGGGGCTGAATTGCCCCAAGAAACAGTAGAGAAAATGAATTGATAATTTACAAAATTAAGAGCAGTGTAGCCTGCTACAACGGTTCAAATAGAAATGAATGAATTGAAACAGCTAAAAAATGTGAACAATCTCACTGGTATATATACCATGTGACTATGAAAATAAATGTATTGGTGCAACAGAGGTTTGGAAAGATTTGGTATAACGAGTTCTTTTGGCATATGTGATCGGGCCCCTTAGTTGTGTGACTGGAAACATATCCAATTTCAAAAATCATTGATTGCTCATTTATGTGAAGAATTGCCTGTCAAAGGGAGAGAAACACTTATACGAATGTCCTTACACAACTGAGTAAACTGACAGTCAGGATTCTAGCTATGATTTTAATGTTTCAGTGGTGACCGATTACTGTTAAGTATTTTTGTTATCCTGTTATTCTTGTGCTAAGGCTGCTCACAACTTGGCCATAAAATAATGCAATAAACACACACATACAGAGAGGGGGGGGGGAGTCTACAAGCACAAACATGTAGATAGCCTATGAGGCATTTTGCTTTGCAATGAACCAGAGTTCGTCAGGGCATCAGAGCTTTATTTTAAGGGATGGGGTTTCTACCCTTAATAACTCTACAGTTAATAACTCTAAGTTTGATTGTGAAATGGCTTGAGTGCCATGGTTATCCATAGGTCCCAACAATTTGCTTGCTTCTTGAGGTTAATTAGTGTTTTATTCATTTACTGTATACTATATCCATGTACTAATTAGTGCATTGAGTAAATGAGTACATTGACGTTACTAGTAACATTTTTTATGCATTTAAAGGAAGCACTGATGGAAGAATATGCCATAGCTGCCCAGGTGTGGAAACTGAGCACCTGTGACTTGTGTGAAATAGCAAGGAACAGCGTTCTACAAAGTGGTTTGTCACATAAGGTATCTTTTCCAAATTAATGTGAATTCTTTATAGTAAACAAATGAAGCATATTGATGACTATTACATTGTTTTTCTACCAATACATCTTGCCCTTGGTGTCATTTATATAGTAATCACTGATCTGAGAGAGCTAGTATGGTATAGTGTAATAGTTGTAATAGATGTTCACTATGAAAAACGCAGACCCAAAGCCCTTTTGATATCCTTGGGTCAGGCAGTATCTCAAAGAGAAACCCATCTTACAGTAGGCATGTGACTTCATTTTTGTTTGGACTCTAAATTCCAGAATTCTCCGTTCTGGGAGTTTCATCTGCCAGACAGATACCTAAACTGTACTTACCCCTAGGAAGGTTGGGCGGGTAGGCTTCAGGTTCTGTGATCAGGTTCTTCTAGGATTGGTGACGGTTCCCTCATTTTGGCTGGAATAAGAGTCGGAGACAATTTTGAACGTCCAGCTGCTTCAACTTTATTAACATCAGCTTCTGAATTAACAAGATTAAATGGATTGAAACAACTCAACTCTGGGATTGTCTTGTAGCTTAAGATCTTCTCTTCCGGCATACAAATGTCACTTCTTACATAGGGGCTGGACCAAAACGCTTGCGGTCAGTTATCACTCTCAAGGGGGTGCTCCTTACTGCACACATAGCGAGGGTGACTTGCCCAGTCTCCTTCTGGTGGTGGATTGTTGTAAGAGGGACTGGGACGGATCACTTTCCTCCCCCCACCTTGGTTGCGGGGGGTAAACCACAACCGTCCATTCTAGTGGTTTCACCCCCTTTCCTTCACCTCTCGGTAAGGCTGGATCAGGTGGTAATCCCTGTCCTGTCTCAAGGTTAGGAAAATCCTTTAACAAATCACAGACCTTGCCAGACTCTTCATCACTTCTTTCTGTCTGCACTGCACTATCTCTCATGCTTTCCTCTCTCTTGTCAGTTTCCACTCTGAATTCCCGCATGTCACCCCACTCGTATAACCTCCTCCCACACTATCAGATCCTGCTCCTCCCCTTTGTCCTCTTCCTTATCTTCCGCCAAGCACACCTCTACTGCTCTTCCCTCCTTCACTGCTTCCTCTTCTAGTTTTATCAACACATCCTCTAAGCATCCACACGCCTCCTCCTGTCCATCTTTTGCTAAGGATGGCTCACTAGGCTCCTGTCCTTCACAAGGACAGACAAAGCTAGGATGTTGCTGGGAGTTGTCCTATGGTAGCTCAGCTAAATGGCTGAAGTTCTCAGATTACTTGCTACAGTGGTCTCCCCTACTTCATTTAAAAAAAAATGTCTTCAGTGTGTATATAGTTATTTCCTAACCCAGTTGCTAATGGGTTTTTAAATTTTCTTTTAAAATTGAAGTATCTCTGCATTAAAATCTTTTTTAATGTTGCTTTGTCCTTAGGAAAAACAGAAATGCATTGGAGTAAATTATTGCAATGAAGGACCCGAAGGAAATGACATTCGAAAGACAAACGTTGCACAAATCAGAATGGCATACAGATATGAGAACTTATGCAATGAGCTGAGTTTCCTGTCCGATGCGATGAAGACAGAAGAGATTACTGCTCTATCAGACTAGCCATGGTTGCACAACTGCCAGGAAAGAAGTCTGTGAATATGCAGAAGAAATCGTTATTTTAGCAGGACTGAAAGCTGTCATATGTTTAGAACTGTTTTATGTTGCACTTTCAGTAAAGCAAATTTCTGCAACCACTTGGCACAGGCAGAACTACTATACATAATCAAATGCAGACCATAACTATATTCTTTATGCTGCATATGCATTTAAAAGTGTAGCCTAAATTTAGTCATAAATATTTAAAGTGTTTGCATTTGGACACAATAACATCCTCTTTTGAAATAAGTTACACAGGGACAGGAACTTCTGATACCACACACAGAAACACCTCTTTTGCCATGTGTAGGGGCAGGCAGAACTCTGGCACTTTAATTTCTGGTTAGATTCCAGAACAATGATTGTACACTGTACTGTAGTGCCCACTGGGGGTCATTTAGCAAAGTCAGTAATTAATTTAGGGAATTAAAATATTATGACCAAAGAGTTGCATGGTTTTTGTTTTGTTTTGTTTTGTTTTTTTGCTGGTTGCACCTTATAGGGAAACTTATTTTCCTATGGCAGAATCTTTTGACTACATTTTGTTTTCTCCTCCCAAGCACCCTCCCATTAAAATTAATATAATGATAATTGATTTTGTAGTATTCAGAAATATTTTAAAGTGTTTTTTGGTGCGCTTCATAGTGATCAGTCTGAAATATTTCTGCTGGTTCATGATCATGTTTTGAGGTGGTTCAAGTACTGGGAGAATCATTTCACTACTGTTGTAACAAGCCTTAAGCTGTAAGTCTTGCTTTCACTTTGAACATGCAACTTTGAAAAGGAACATTAAAACATATTTTTCCTTTGTGCTGGTTTGTTCTGGGGCAATATCCTTGTAAACAGGGAAGATCTGTGATACCATCTGTTCACAAAAGTGATGCATTGGGCAGACATTTGGCAGGGAAGCAAACAAGCACATACATACAAACATATATATATATATGCTATATTTGTTATATTTGTTTAATATGTATGTTATTATAAAATGTAAATTAGTTCTAGTTTTATAACAACATAATCCCAAAACACATATTTGCAGCCTCAGAAGGTTATCTATCACAAATCGGTTCTAGAACACTTAATTTATCTTTGCTCAGATTCAAAAGTGGGGAGGAATCTCCCAAAGTATAGCAATTCTAGCTAGACATGATTGGCCATGCATTAATAAGCACTCACCAATAGTTAAGTCATTGAGAAGGTGAAGAACTAGTAGGACTTTATGACTGAAATATCAGAAATAGATGTGTGGGCAAAACAGAAGTAAATATTGTTTGCCTTATCTAAATTTTACACAAGGTTGACTGTTATTCTTGAAGAGTGGGATTATGTTCACTCTAACAGACTCAAACATCTATTCCAGCTAGTGAAGTATTCAGAAATATTTTAAAGTGCCCGCACAGCAGGAATTACAGTGGTGCCCCGCTATGTGAAAACTTCGCTAAACGGTACGGGGAAGCCCATTGGAACGCATTAAACATCGTTTAATGCATTCCAAATGGGCACAAAACTCACCGTTTAGCGAAGTTTCCAGGGTCCAGCAGCCATTTTCGCACCCTCGGTGAGGGGAGGGCGCGGAAACGCTGCGCGCGGCCATTTTGGGCGTCCGGCGGCCATTTTGAAACCACTGAACAGCTGATCTGCGGGTGTCGCAAAGCGAAGATCGGTAAGCAAAACGCTTACCGATCTTCGCTATGCGAGTTTTGCCCATTGGGGCCGACGCTATGCCTCCACATTAGCGATCCTGAAAACGGGATCGCTATGCGGATTCGTCGTTATACGGTGCGCTCGTTAAGCAAGGCACCACTGTATATGAAGTATATGTAGTTTATGGAAGTAAACTTATTTTGAAACAGATACATTAGGAGTATTATAGGCAATCTCTTTTAAACTTCTAATGGACATGTTATGTAGAATTGGAAGAGATTAAAACCTTACACCTATCCCCCTTTCTATCTATATTCCCAGCCAAATGGCAGTAGGTGACCATATCAGCCACCCCCGGGCCACATGATACTGTTGGTAAATGGCAGGTCCACAAAAAATAAGACCACCCTCATCCATGATTTAATTTTGGATGAGGGAGCTGACCTGGCATGCATTACTGAGACCTGAGTGGGAGAAGAAGGAGTTCCTCTAACTCAGTTCTGTCCCCCTGGGTACTTGGTCCAACACCAGGGTCGCCTGGAGGGTCGGGGAGGAGGCGTGGCAATAGTCTACAAGGATTCCTTCCACTTTTCCAGACTCCCTGTCCCCTTGCGAAATGGTCTAGAGAGCCTGTATTGTGTGTTGGGCTCAAGAGACAAACTGGGGATTCTGTTGGTGTGCCACCCACCCTGCTGCTTACCAACAGTCTCCCTACCTTAGTTGACGGAGGTGATCTCGGACCTGGTGGTGAGGAGCCCCAGACTTTTGGTACCCATGCAACAGGGGTGGCTCAGGACTTCACGGCCACCATGACAACCATGGGGCTCTCTCCACGTCATCAGCCCGACTCATGAGAAAGGCCATGCACTTGACCTAGTATTCTCAACGGGATGGGGGGATGGTGGTCCAGATGTGGTGGGTTTATCTTTGACCCCGTTATGGTCGGACCATTTCTTGGTAAAGTTTAGACTCTCTGCCATTATTACCCTCTGCAGAGGTGGGGGATCAATTAAAATGATCCACTCCCCAGAGGCTTAGAGATCCTGAAGGATTCCTGAATGCTCTAGGGGAGTTTCTAGTTGATATGGTTGGCGCTCGTGTCGAAGCCCAGGTCACTTTGTGGTACAAGGAGATGGCCTGGGCAGTTGACACGATCCCACCTAGGCACCCTCTCCCTGCCCACAGAGCCTATATGGCTCCTTGGTATATAGAGGAGCTTCGGGCTATGAAATGGTTGGGGAGACAGCTTGAGTGCAGATGCAGGAAATATCGCTGCAACTATGACCAAACACAGCTTAGAGCCCATTGTCAGGCATATGCTGTAGTGATATGGCTGGTGAGATGCCAGCATTTCTCCAGTCTTATTGCTTCCTCAGCATGTCGTCCAGCAGAGCTAATTTGAGTGGTCCGGGACTGTCTTCAGCCTAATGGTTCAGTGGAGGTCCCATACTGTTCAGTGAATTTGTTTCACACTTTGAGGGGAAATTGCTCAGATTTGCAGCGTTGGACCCCACTGTTGATGCAGAGCCTATGGTTGTGCTCTGGACTTATGCCATAATTTATTGGGTAAGTTTCAGTTGTTGTGACCTAAGGATGTGTACAGGGTGCTTGGATCAGTTCATGCCACCACTACGCAACTTGACCCTTGTGCATCGTGGATGATAAAGGAATCTGCCAGGTGAGTTCGCACCTGGATCCTGGAGGTCATCAACTCCTCGTTAAGAGAGGGAGTGGTCCCCACCCCGTTAAAGGAGACAGCGATTCACCCATTCCTAAAAAAACCTAATCTGGATCCAGGTCTAGTGATCAACTTCCAACCAGTAGCGAACCTCCCTTTTCTGGGCAAGATGTTGGAACGTGTGGTGGTTGAGCAGGACCAGGCTCTCCTGGGTGAAACAGATTATCTAGATCCATTTCAATTGGGTTTCAGGCCGGGTTATGGGATGGAGACTGCCTTGGTTGCCCTGTTTGATGACCTTTGCTGGGAGAAAGACAGGGAATTCATTCCTGTTGATTCTCTTGGACCTCTCAATGGCTTTCAACACCATCAACCATGGTGTCCTTCTGAATAGATTGGCTGGGATGGGAATGGGAGGCACCGTTTTACGATGGTTCCTACCTGGCTGATCGAGTCCAGAAGGTGATGCTGGGGGACGGTAACTCTGATCCATGGTGGTTGCGTCATGAGGTTCCTCAGGGCTCTATACTGTCCCCCATGCTATTAAATATCTACATGAAACCACTGGGGGAGGTCGTTAGGAGGTTTGGGCTGAGGAGTCAGCAATATGCTGATGACTCCCAGCTCTACCGCTCATTCTCTACCAATCCAGGTGTGGCAGTCGCCATTCTGAACTCGTGCCTGGATTTGATAATGGGACTGTATGAGGGTCAATAAACTGAGGCTCAATCCAGAGAAGTCGGAAGTGGTGCTGGTAGGTGCTCCACCAGATAGGTTAAAGTGCCATTTCCCTGCCTTAGACGGGGTCACACACACCTAAAGGACAGGGTCTGCATCTTAGGGGTGCTCCTTGACGTGGGTCTAACCTTGGAAGCCCAGGTGGACTTGGAGTCCAGGGGTGCCTTCTTACAGCTGTGGAGAATATATCAACTTTGCCCTTACCTGGATTAGCGGAGCCTGGCAACAGTCACACATGCACTGGTAACAACCAGACTGGACTACTGCAATGCACTATACGTGGGCCAGCCTTTGAAGACGATCCGGTGACTGCAACTGGCACAGAACTGGCTGCGCTGCTGGTAAGTGCTGCTACTGTATGGACTCATATCATGCCTGTTCTGAAAAATTTACAACTGCTCGAGCCCAATTCAAAGTGCTTACTTTGACATATACAGTGGTGCCTCACTAGACAGTTGCCCCGCTTTATGATGAAATCGCTTTACAATGGTTTTTTTGCGATTGATTTACCCATCGCAAAACGTTGGTTCCAATGGGGCTTTTTTGCACTACGATCACCCGTGCCCGCTTTAGAGCACTTCGAAAGCTTTTCCTGAACAGTCAGGAAAAGCCTCCGAAGTGCTCTAAAGCGGGTGCGGGTGGTTTTGGGGCACCCCCGCTAGGGCTCTGTTGGTGCAGGAGAAGCCATCAGAACCCTGGCGGGGGTGCCCTGAAACCACCCACACCCGCTTTAGAGCACTTTGGAGGGTTTTCCTGCAAAGGC